CTTTTTGCAGCATCTTGGGGCTGTCTGGGAACCATAGTGGGCACCTTCGGCGCAGTCTTGTAGCCGTCATGGACCCCGCTGGGAGCCGGATGCGAGTAGGCGATGAGGCAAACATCATCCACAAGCTGCCAGGTTTTCTATGATGTTGGTTTCTCAAGGATATCCTTGGTCGTGGCCACTTGGAGCCAACTATGGGAAATCTTGGGGCCTCGTGGAGGCATGCTCTGGAGGCCATCTTGGGCTATCTGGTACCATCTTGGAGGCCACCTTGGGCTATCTGAGACGATAGTTGATTCATTTTGGATCATCTTGTGTGCTCTGACGCGTCGCGGGAGGGGGCTATCCAGACGCAGGGCAGGACTCCTCCTAACAATGCTGGGCGGGGCACAGGAGGGGCAGGATGGCCCCAGAGGCCTAAGAGCCTTCCAAGAGGGCTTCCACAGACCCCAAGAGGCCCCCAGGAGGCCGGCAAGCGGCTCCCGAAAGGCCCGAGCGATGCTTCGATCGACGGGGAGGGTAGACTCCTCCCCGAAAAGGAAGCAGGGCGCTGGAAGAGGAAACACCTTAAATCACATCAGCTCTGAGAGCTGGTGGGATTCTGGGATGATGCTGTCAGGCCAGTCACGGAGAACGGCAGACGAGAGAGAGGAGGGGGGGGAGAAGTGGGAGGAGGAGCAGGAAGAAGGAGGAGGAGCAGGAGGAGGAGGAGGCGGAGGAGGGGGAGGAGGGGCGTGGGAGGAGGAGGAGGAGGAGGAGGAGGAGGAGGAGGAGGAGGAGGAGGAGGAGGAGGAGGAGGAGGAGGAGGAGGAGGGAGAGGAGGTTGGTTGGTTGGTGCCTGGGGAGGCGAGTGGTGCCGGACCTGCGGGCACCGCATCCTTTGCGGTTGCCCGGGGTTCGGGGGGGGGGGGGAGGGGGGCGAAGGGGCGCGCCCCGTCCCGCGTGCTCCGGGCAGTCCTGCCGCTCGCCGTCCCGGGGGGGGAGGGAGGGAGGGGAGGGAGGGAGGGAGGGCAGGAGGAGGGGAGAGGGAAGGACGGAGGGAGGGAGGGGTAGGAGGAGGAGGAGGAGGAAGAGGTGGAGGAGGAGGAGAAGAAAGAGGAGGAGGAGGAGGAGGGAGGAATTGGGGCAGGGAGGCCTAAGAGGTGGGTCACGTAGGGAAGCGAGAGCGAGGGGGCGGCAGGGAAGCATGTGGGGCGCAGGGAAGATGTGGACCATGATGACGGGGAGCATGGGGGTGATGAGGCTTGGGGACAGGATGGAGAGATCAAGAGGGGTGGGGAGGAGGAGAGTGAGAGGCAGGTTGCAGGGAATGCCTGCCGCGGAGGAGGAGGAAGAGGAGGAGGAAGAGGAGGCGGAGGGAGATTGGATGAGCCACAAATGAGCAGGGGAGAGGGGGGGTGATGAGAATTGAGGCCAAGCCAGGCCGATCGCAAGTCACCTCACTGGCGGCACGAGGTGCTGAACTGAAGTGAACTGCGCTCGACGCTACGGTCAGTGGTCAGGAACTTGTGTTCAGCGTGTTGCTCCGCTGGTTCTGGACCACCACGCTTCGGCGCGACACGCTGATAACGTCCCCATATCCAAGAATCAACCTGCCTAGCTTTTCCAAGTCCCCCGTTCCGCGAAGCGGAGCGACACGCCATCCGCCTGCATTGCATAGCGTGTCACCAGGGCCGCCGCCGCGACGCGCGAGGCAACAGTTCCTGACCGTATCTACGTAAGACCGCCACACGAGGAGGAGGATGAGGAGCAGGAAGATGAGGAGGAGGAGGAGGAGGAGGAGGAGGAGGAGGAGGAGGAGGCGGCATGAGGAGGAGGCGGCATGAGGAGAAGGAGGCGGAGGATGAGGAGGAGGAGGAAGAGGAGGCGACATGATGATGATGAGGAGGAGGCAGGAGGGAGGAGGGAGGAGGGAGGAGGAATGAGGAAGGAGGAAGTAGGAGGAGGATGGGCGGAGGAGGAGGAGGAGGACCAGTGCAAACCCAAGAGTCATCAACGACGTTGGAATAAGCCCTTCCTCCAAGCTCCCCCATATGCCCCTACACATGTTCATGACCATTGAGGGAGTTGCCTCGGCGGAAGACAATCGCTCGAAGACCCTGAAGCACGCCCAAACATTGTTCTCGGGATCCCAACGCCACGGATCAACCTCATTGATGCGACTCGACGATCTTGCATCGTTCCAGAACGCCATCCCTGAGACTGCAACACCGTGAATCAACGTAACCCTTGCATCCGCAAAACCCTGGAATTCGTCCAAAACGCCGTTTCTGGTGGGTTGACCATGGAAATCCGTATAACTTTTTTCCAATGCCAACGAATGTGCGCGGCGCTAGGGCGAGAGCCACAATTTGAAACAGGAACCGCCTTCAATTCGTGAATTCATTGCAAATTGTTGAACCACATGTGCGTGGCGCTGAGGCGAGAGCCACAGCTTGAAAACGACCCACCCTCAAACATGTGCGCCGCGCTAAGGCGAGAGCCACATTTTGAAAACGACCCGCCCTCAAACCATGAAGCCTTTGTAAATGTTTAAAACGAATGTGCGCCGCGCTAATCGAGAGCCACAGTTTGAAAACCACCCGCCCTCAATCCGTGACGCTCTTGCATTTTTTAACACGATTGTGCGCCGCGCTAAGTCGAGAGCCACATTGTGAACACGACCCGCATTCAATCCATAAAACTGTTGCAGATGTTTAACACGAATGTGCGCCAAGCTAAGTCGAGGGCCACATCTTGAAAACGGCCCGCCCTCTGTCCGTGAAGCTCTTGCAGTTTTTCTGAACGAGTATGCGCGGCGCGAAGGCGAGAGCCAGATTTTGGAAGCCACCCGTCCTCGTTCCGTGAAGTTCTTGCAGATTGTTGCAGCGAGTGCGCGCGGCGCTAAGGCGAGAGCCACCTGTGAAGTTGTTGCCAGTTTTTGAGCTTTAGAGTCTTAAGTGGTGGGGAAGTCTCAGGCGAAACGCCGGGCCCGCCTTCAAAATTGGCCCCGGGGTGCGACAGGGAGAAGTTACTCATCAGGGAAAGGAATGGAGCAGGAGGAGGAAGAGGAGGAGGAGGAAGATGAGGAGGAGGGAGGAAAGAAAAGGGTGGAGGGAGGAGGGAGGAGGGAGGAGGAGGACCACTGCAAACACAAGGGTCATTAACGATGTTGGAATGAACCCTCCCTCCAAGCTCCCTTTTCATAGGCCCCAAGAACGGTTCATTTCCATTGAAGGAACTGTCTCTTCGGAGGACACCGCCTGAAGACCCTGAATCATGCCAAGACATTGTTCTCGGGATTTCAATGCCACGGATGAACCTGATTGTTGCGTCTTGATGTTCCTGAATCGTGCCAGAACGCCATCCCTGGGACTTCAACACAGCGATGCCACATAACTGTCGCACCCGCATAATCCTGAATACTTTTAAGCAACCATTTCTTGCACGCTGATCATGGGAATCCACGACACCCTTGCATTTTTTCAAACGAATGCGCGCCGCGGTAAGGCGAGAGCCCACTGTGAACACGACCCGCCCTCAAGCGGGTGAAGCCTTTGTAAATGTTTAAAACGAATGTGCGCCGCGCTAAGCGAGAGCCACATTTTGAAAACCACCCGCCCTCAATCCGTGACGCTCTTGCAAATGTTTAACACGAATGTGCGCCGCGCTAAGTCGAGAGCCACATTTTGAAAACGATCCGCATTCAATCCACAAACCGATTGCACATGTTTAAAGCGAATGTGCGCCAAACTATGGCGAGAGCCATTTTGAAATTGACCCGCCCAAAGCTTTAGAGACATCTCAGGCGAAGCGCCCGGCCGGCCTCAAAATTTTGCCTCGGAGTGCGACAGGGAGAAACTATTCATGAGGAGGAAGAGGAGGAAGAGGAGGAGGAGGAAGAGGAGGAGAGGGAGGAGGAGGAGGAAGAGGAGGAGGAGGAGGAGGCGAGAGGAGGAGAGGGGATGGGGCCAGGGACGCGCAGGCGTGCGGAGAGCCGGGCCTTGAAAAGGGGGGCGCCGGCGTGGTCCGACGACAGCGGCAACGGTCGTGGCGGCGATCTTCTCGGCTGGCGATAGCGATGACGTTGCTGCTGACAATGGTGGCGGTAATGGTGCTGGTGGCGGCAACTCTCAGGAAGGGCAAAACACAGACACAGTTCATCGTCGGCTCCCATGAGAAGATGGTACAACATGAAAAGTGAGGGGAAGGCGAACACTCAGAAACTATGGGAAATCATGGGGCTTGTGTCTATTTATTTCTGTGTACCTGTCTCCTGGGCCCCCTAAAACCCGAAGAACAACACATCCAGAAACATAAACGTTTGGAGCTCCGCGCGGATTCCTGGGGTCTGGTGGCGCCTCTGGCGCCGCCAGTGGCGCGCTCCGCGCGCCAGGGAGGGGGGTCCAGTGCGGATTCTTGAAATCCGTGCATACCTCCAACGGTTTATGTGTGGGCTTTCTTTTGGTCCTTTAGAAATGATGGCGATGACGGTGCTGGTGATGGTACGGATGCTGATGTTGGCAACGAGGGTGAGGATGACGGTGGGCTGTGCTGGCGGCGAAGGTCATGGCATGCGGCGATGGCGATGACTTGACGGTGGCCGTGCCCGCGCCGAAGCGGAAACGTGCCCTCGCGTCGGACGCGTGGTCGGGCAGCTGCTGCCGTGCTGATGATCGTGTTGAGGAGGAAGGGGAGGAGGAGGAGGAGGAGGAGGAGGAGAAAGAGGAGAAGGAGGAAGAGGAGAAAGAGGAGGAAGAGGAGGTCGAGGAACAGGAAGGAGGAGGAGGAACAGAGGGAGGAGGACTAGTGCAAATCCAAGACTCATCAGCGCAAGGCAGTACACGTTCGTGCTGCAGTCCATGACCCTCTGGCGAGAGGTCCTGGACAACATGTTCCAGCTGTGGCACCTTGCCGAGGACGCGCGCCTCGGCGCGGGGGGAGGAGCAGGAAATGACGGATTGGGGGGGAAGAAGGAGGGGGGAGGCTGATGATGATGAGGATGGTGATGATGACGATGATGATGATGATGATAATATTAACGAGTATGATGGTGAAGCTGATGATGATGTTATTGATGGTGATGATGAAGATACAGCTGATGATGCTGATGATGCTGATGATGATGGTGATTGTGGTGATGCTGATGATGATGATATTGCTGTCGATGGAGGTGAGGATCAATATGGCGATGCTGATGATGATGATGACGACGATAATGACGATGCTGATGATCCTGATGATGATGCTTATCATGATGACGACGATGATGCTGGCAGCGATGATGATGATGATGATGATGATGATGATGATGATGATGGTGATGATGATGATGATGATGGTGATGGTGATGGTGATGGTGATGGTGATGATGCTGCTGCTGCTGCTGATGATGATGATGATGATGATGATGATGATGATTCATGATCGTGTTTCATCGGCGTCTCCAGGGGTGATCTTCCTGTGTGTATGCCAGGCCCAGGAGCATGGACCACAGCACAGTCAGGAGCAGCTGATGCAGACACGGTCTCTGGGAGAGACGAAGTGGCCAAACAAATACGGATGGATTCAAAAAAGATCTGGTCATTGAAGTCAGGCTGGAGGGTGACCGAGCTATTCTGGGAGCTCCGCGGATTATCTTGGGACGTTATTCTCATCACCGAGCTGTGGAGGAATGAAGCGAAAGAGGACTGGGAAGCGGAAGGTGGTCATAGGATGTAGATGGGAGGATGATTCTAGAGGAGTTGCTATTCTGATACATCGGAGGTGGATCCATCGCGTGAGTGAGCGAGCGGGTCCTTGCTGCGGACGTTGAGTTGCACGGCCTTATTGTCCGGCTGGTGTCTGCATATCTCCCTCACAACACATATTCGGACGCAAAGGCGCAGAAAGTATACACGACATTATCGGAATTGTCACGCGAGGGGAAGCACAACAAGACACAGGTGATGAGAAGAGGCGAAGGCGACTAATGCAGAAGTGGGCATGCCAGAGAAGGACGAGAAGCACACAGTTTGGTAGTACGGAATGACACGGAGTATTTGCAGAGGCCCGTTACTCAAGCGTTGGGTGAAGAAGGAGGGCATGATGTTGGCGATCACTGATTCCCAGAAGGCCGCAATCATTCGTATCACGTTCGCTGGCAAGGACAATGTACCTAAGTAGTTCGATTCCATTCTCGCGTTTCGCTGTCCACAATTATCGTTACAAAACGCGCAGTCCATCAAGTCTTTGGGACCATGGATCGGATCACCGGGTTGTTCGTGCTACCTCCCCGGCACTCCTCACTGCTGGGCAGGAGGGTGTGGTTGGCAAAGCGGGTGGCGACAGACGATCACGCGGTAAGCCAGGTTACCAAACACATGCATATCTGGAACAATCATATATTCATACTTGCGATCTGGAGCTGGAGTGCGGTAGCATTAGTGATCGGTACTCGGGGCTGGAGGGTATTCTACGCGACGCAGCTGCGGAGTCCGTGCCAGGGCAAAAGGACACGCACAAGACAGACAATCGTAATGACTTGTTGGAGCAGCCTCTATCGGAGCGAAAACCGCTCGCACCGCACTGCACATCCGAGAGGTCCGCCCTCAGCACTATGATCAAACGTGGCACTCTTCGGATACAGCAAGAGCAGCGAAGGCAACGTATCGGGAACATGCTGGTGGAATTTGAAGGGATCAACAGGCACACCGCGGACGAAAACCACCATGAGGAAACAGAGTTTATTCTGGATGCTTGTGATAAGTGGGAAGTGGCACCAGGGCAGGCAAGCAATCTCAAATGTTTGTGTAGGTTTCATGAAGAGCTGCATGTGGCAACGGGGCCGCAACCTGAATGTGCAGACGAAGACGGCAAGGGCATACCGCTGCACACGTGCGAAGGAGTAGTCGAAGAGATGCGAGCACTGAAGCAAGGGCAGGCCAGGGACCGTGCAGGCATAAGAAACGAAAGTCTCAAGAACGGCGGCAAAGCGTTGGTCAAGATGCTTGCGGTCTTGTTCAACGACATAGTGGACCCAGAAACGATGACACCAGAGAGCTGGAGACGATCCCCAATAACAATTCAGTGTAAGGATGGGGACGCGCTTTTGCCAGCAAATCACCAACTCATAACAAACATACCGTTGTTATACACATTATTCAGCTGACTTCCCCGGGTACGTTTGACCTTGATATTGGGTGCATCGCAATGTATGGATCAGGCTGGTTGTCGCGCGAGGTACAGCACAGAGGAGCTCTTGCTCGCTTCGCCTTATTACATGACCGATGTCTGCCAGACGGGGAGAGGGAGGGGTAGGTCGGGGGCGACCTAAAGGGGGGATGCGCCCAGGGGGGATGCATCGACCCCCAGTCGCCCTTTTTCATCGCCGACAGGAGCCCGATGGCCCACCCCGCCCAGGAGAATGCGGATTCCCGTTCGGGGGCTTATCGCCAATCTATCTGCGCTGTCAATCGGCGAAGCTTTTGTGGATCGCCATGCCAGTTTTTAATACCGCATTTTACATCAGCTCACACGACAGCATCTGGGCCGCCCTACTGCAGCATGGAGCACCCAATCCATGCATCAAGATGTAGCGGCATTTTTTCCAGACCAGCACGGTGAAGCTTGGTCTGAAACATCTGCAGAACAGACCCCCTATCCTTGATGTTTCTGGACCTCCTAACTTGGGTCCCCTTTCAAAGGGTTAGGGGCTGTCTTTTGCGAATCAAATATGTCAAGCTCTCGGCGCCATGCAGAACTGCCAATCGAGCGGAGAGCGCCGCAGGCTCACGACATACGTGGAATTGTATAGAGGTCTGTGGCCAGACCCGCTTGCGTGTTCGACGCTTTAGCCATGGCCACATTGCAAGCAGCTTTTCGGCCCACTCCGCTCAGTGCGTTCCCCGCTCAGTGCTTCCCCCAGCGCAGCTGGATCACCTCGAGCATACGCCCTTTGAGGAAACTGGCACGCAGCCCATAACATTGGCATCTTGTCTGCCTGGGGGGAAACGAGGAGCGCCCCGGTGCCCGCTCCTGAGGCACGCCTAACCCCCCCTGGGGTCGGGGCTGACCGCGCCCCCCGTGTGCCTGCATGGGCCGCTCCCGCTGTGCAGGCGCATGAGATTCCACACGGCAGGCGGATCTGGCTGCTTTCGTCGCTCACCCTCTTTGGAGGAGGTGCGCGGGCGCATGCGCTTGTGCTTCGCCAGCGCGAGCTGTGGACCATGCCGTCTGTCAAGCCTGACGTGGTTCTCTTGTGCAGGAGCGCGTGCGGCGCCGCTGCGTCAGCCGAAGCCGTCAGGCTGATGAGCCGCAGATTTGTTCCGGACCTGCGTGAGCTGCGTCGTGGGATCTCGCCCTGGGGGATCGGACTGAGAGCTGCTCCCCACTGGCCACTGGCCCTCCAACCAGTGTGCACCAGGACCCTCCTCCACCTCCTCCTCCCCGCTTGCGCCCGCCCCGCGGGACGGTGAGAGCAGGGCCCAAGGCTCTGAAAGGGGGTCAGGCCAGTTCATTCCAGATCCTTCTCTGGGCCAGGGTTATGATGCTCCAACCTACTTGAGCCTTGATCACCAGGACGAATTTCGAGCGCCCAAAACAGTAGCGAAACTCAAGGGTTTTCACGTGTGGGGCCCTGGGAGACACTCGCCCGACATTGTTTCCACACTGTTTCGGCACTCTTTTTTACACTTCTCCGGGTGCTCGAAATTATTTCCGGGATGTGGTCCTTAAGTAGGATGGGAACAACATAAGACCAGGGTGTTCCTCCTCTCCACCTTCCCAGGTGGTGCCAGGCTTGCGCTGCGCGGCGAGGCTCGCCCGAGGGAGGCACGAGGGCAGGCGAAGGGGTCGTCTTCTTTTCGTGTGCTGCTTGGGTGGCCTGACCTTTCGGCGCCCTTGCTGGGCTGCGAGCTGTAGGACAGGAGACGAGGAGGAGGAGGAGGAGCAGGAGGAGGAGGATGTAGCGGACTGACGCTGCGATCCCAGCGGATATAAATTTGCCGAACGTCATGAAGGAGGCAGCGGACGGGGGACGGAGGACGGAAGCTGGAGAGCACGGACGGACGGAGGGCAGGAGGAGGGCGAACGAGTCTCTCCCCGCCCCGCTGGCTCTCTCGGTCTCGGCAGCCCCCGTGAGATTCGTCTCAGCCCCTGCGGCCCTGCGAGTTGGGTCCGTCGTGCCACAGCGGGTAATCGGCGCCACGCAGTCCTGAGTGTTTCACAAGATACCGGCCGACTCGCGATGATCGTCGCATTCTCGCCGCACCCCAGACCCCCGACGCTGTGTTTTTCTCGCAGCGTCGGCCCCCAGAGGTCTGGACCCTTTCCCCCGGACCGGCTTCCAATTCCCGAGTCGTTTTTGTTCTCGGTCCCGAGGCCTGGTAAGGGCCCCCAGAGGCCGCCGAAAATGGGGAACAACTTGCCGTCAGAATGCTTTCACAGCGCGAGGAAGTCTGGGACGCTTGGTCCGTTGCCGCCCGCTCGAGGAGGACCTCCTGGACGAGGAGCACTGCTACCAGCTCACGGACACCGGCCAGGGCCTGCAGCGGGTCCAGAAGTCGCCCCGGAGCGCGGCCGCCCTATCAGCCCCATCCAGGGAGGAGGGAGGGGCAGGGAGGTTTGAGAAGGGGGAGGAGGAAGAAGAGGGTGATGAGAATAAGGATCAGGATGAGGATGAGGATGAGGATGATGAGGATGAGGATGAGGCTGAGGCTGAGGCTGAGGCTGAGGCTGAGGATGAGGGTGAGGATGAGGATGAGGATGAGGATGAGGATGAGGATGATGATGATGCTGCTGATGATGGTGATGATGATGATTGTGATGATGACGATGATGATGATGATGATGATGATGGTGATGGTGATGATGATGATGATGATGATGATGATGATGATGATGATGGTGATGGTGATGATGATGATGATGATGATGATGATGATGATGATGATGATGATGATGATGATGATGATGATGATGATGATGATGATGATGATGATGATGATGATGATGATGATGATGATGATGATGATGATGATGATGATGATGATGATGATGCTGATGCAGGTGCTGATGCTGATGCTGCTGATGATGATCAGGAGGAGGAGGCGGAGGAGGAGGAGGAGGGTGGCGAGGAGGAGGAGGAGGAGGCGAGCGCATGAGAGTCAAAGATCCAGCCTCGCCCCCTGGCCGGAAAATTCTAAACGACAACATTCGGTATCGCGAGGAGGCGGGGATGCGCCTGGCCTGACAGACGGCGGGACGGGGGGAGAGCGAGGGGTAGCAACAGCACCACGCACTGAGGAGGAGGAGGAGGAGGAGGCGGAGGAGGAGGAGGAGGAGGAGGAGGAGGAGAAGGAGGGGGAGGAGGAAGAAGAGGAGGAGTGGAGGAGGAGGAGGAGGAGGAGGAGGAGGAGGAGGAGGAGGAGGAGGAGGAGGAGGGAGGAGGAGGAGGAGGAGTACGCAGCTATTGAGCAATGTTCTGTTACGCCTTACATCACGTGTAGGCTCTACTGAAACACTTGGAGCCACGAGCGCCAATCCACACCCGACGAACCGAACACAGGGGACAAGACGAACCGACCAGCGAGGAGCCGCCGAGCGGAGGAACCGACGAGGGCCACGGGGGACCGACGTGCAAGCCGAGGGCCCGAGAGGACGGAGCGGAACGAGGAGCAGGAGAGGCAGGAAGACAACATCGGCGCTTGCAACATCGACCTCCCCACGAGAGGTCAGAGGAGCCCGCTGTCCGAGGCGCTGGCCTCTGCACAGGTGTGTAGCGGGTGCCACGGCTGCACAGCCTCGCTCGCACGGGGCGGGGCACTGCGCAGCACCTCAGAGCTGTCACGAGCAGGCTGTTGCTGCTCAGTCGGTCCCTGGCCTAGGCCGTCAACACGTCGATCCATGCGCTCAACTCTTCTTCCATGTAGCCCGCTGTGGCCTGGCCTCGAGTGATCTGGGCTCCCAGGGCACGGGGCGCGTCCACCAGGATGTTTCTTTCCCCTGGTCCGAAACCGAGAACACGATTCTGATATGGCCCTCCTGGTAGCAACTCTCCAGCCGGCACAACTTCACGTAGTCGGGAGGGCCCCCCACTGTGCTGATAGCCCAGGCCTCCAGAGCTACTCTGTTGACCTTCCCGACCCCCTGCTCCGCGAGCGACTCCACCATGGCGGCGAACACGGCTCGCGTCGGGGGGCCGAGGTCGCGCAGTTCGTCGATGGTTGCCTCCGCGTCGCGGGTCGCCACGGCTTCGGACTCCTTGTCGGTCCCCTTCGCCGTCGTCGCGGCCTCTTTCATCTTGGCCGCCTTGCTCCGCAGGTTCTGTGCGTTCTCCGCGAACGCCTTCCCCTCCTCCTGCATCTGCTTGGCCACGGGGCTGGCCTCCTCGTGGATGACCGTCCTGGTGAGGATCCCCCACATCGCGCGGCTCTTCTGCGCGAGCGCGGTGACCTGCATGGCCAGCATCAGCAGCAACTCGCGGAGGCCACCGTCCTTGGTGGTCAGCTTGCGCCCCCTGTCGCCACCTCGGCGGCGGCCGCCACGATGCGTGAGCGTCGGCTTGGTCGCCGTGCCCTCGGCGCCCGCGGCTCCGCGAGCGACGCCAGCTCCGTCCTGGCCCTTCTGCTTCTTGCGGTCCTCGGCGCTGGCCTTCCCGCCTCTGCCACCACTCGCGGAGGCAGCCGAGGAGCCCCGCGGGGCCCGCCACGGCGGCCTGACTGGGCTGTCGACCATGGGCGTCGCCGCCGCTGCCGTCATCCCGCCGCTGCAGCCGCCGTAGTTCGTCTCCGCGGACGAGAAGCCCAGGCAGCGTGCGAAGCTCGCTCCCGCGAGCGCGCCCTCCAGCGCTGGCAATGGCGGGCTGCCGCCTCCGCGCGGGTGGAGGGCGAGGGGGCCGCGGGGCGACCACGGCCAGCGGGGCGCCCTCCTGCGTCGGTGGCAGGTGCGAGCACAGGTGGCGACGGAGCGAAGGATACGAAGACGACGCGAAGTAACAGATGGTGCAGTGCAGGTCGGTCGGGTTGATGAACGTGTAAGGGTACGCTGTGTTGTTCATGATGCATCTGCCCGCGTGCCATGACCGTGTCAAGTGCCGTACTGCCTCCGTGCGGTTCTGGAATACCGTGCAACAGTTGATACAGGCGTTCGTCGGCGTGATGATGTGCAGTATACTCCTCCCACCGTGTCCCTCCTGGCTCTGCGTGGTGTGTGCGATGAGTGCTGCTCGTGTCCTGAACGACTCTCCACACCTGATCCCCTCCCCGACGACGATGTTGCAGACGAACGCTGGAGCAGGATTCTCCCATGTTTCTCCGCCATCCGTCTCAGCAGGCACAGAGTCGGCCAGTGCAACAGGCTGCCGCCAGGTCGATGACATGAAGGCCGTGCGCAGGGCCTTCGGATCAAAGGCAAGGAACAGGTCAGTCACTTCAGTGTCCCAGATCAGCTCGCGAATATTGCCACTCCACGCAGACGCGAAACTCTCCGCCTCGGGGTGGTCCACAACGATCTGCATATCATGCTTGAACTGCGCTGCCCACGGGTGTATCCCAGGGTGGTCATTGATATCGCCAGCCGGCGTCAAAACAGGTGGGCACGCGTACTCAGCCTCCTCCTCCCCCTTCATTGTGCCGAAGAACACCGACAGGAAGTGCGCGTGGTTCGCGGGGTTCCTGAGGATGCCCTGCCAAGCCTTGAGGCGTTGCACAGTGGCCTCCAGCGCAAAAGGCACCAGCTGCCAGCACCTGTAGACTTCACGCGATGTCATAGTCTGTATCTGCTGCTCCGTCGCGGGCGGCCGCAGCAGGTGGTGCGACTTGTTAGTGGTGCCGCCCATCAGGGAGCCGAGCTTGCGCACCAGGGAGGAGCACAAGGTTCTGCACTCGCTCTCCGTCCAGCACGTAGCAATGGTGCCAGAGAGGCTCGCGCCCGACACCAGCGAGATGAACATCAGCCGCTTCGTCCTGAGGGGCGCTCTCGAGTACCAGAAGCCCTTGACCATCATCGAGCCGCGGTTGAGGGCCTGGAGCCTGGCCTTGAGCTCGTTGGCGTTGCTGTTGACCGCGTTGAACCAGGCGCCCAGGTTCTTCAGCTCGTAGCCCGCATGGCAGCCTGAGTCCAGGAGCGCCTTGATGGTCTGGCGCGTGAGCTGCCGCGACCTCAGGGCGGGGACGACGTCCTGCTTCTTGCGGTTCTGCACATATCCCTTCGCCGCCAGGGAGGTGTCCACGAAGAAGTCGTTGGAAGCCCTGACGATGTCCATCGGCGAGTGGGCCTTGGGGTCGATGAGCAGCGTCTTGAAGATGTCATCCATGAAGGTGCCCATGCTCGCGTCGACGGACGCTAAGCGGCCGAATGTAATGACGGTGTTGCTGTTGTGCTGGTGGCGCTCGAAGGTGGTCCACGCCTTGACCGCGTGGTGGTAGTTGTGCATACAGATCTCGGGCTCCGAGGTGTCGCTCATGAAGCCGCCGCTGCCGCTGCGGACCGCAAGGCGCTGGTCCGCCGCATCGATGATGACCGTGAGCTGGTCGCGGCGCGTGCGGGTGACGTGGGTGGCGAGGTCGATGTCCGGGTCCTCCAGCTCAGGCTCCTCCTCCAGGCGCTCGCGGGCGCCCTCCTCCAACTGGCGCCTGTGGCCACAGGCGAAGGCGTTGGTGGCATCGAAGCTTCCGTGCAGCATCGGCTGTCCGCTCCGAATGCCTCTCCAGGCCACCGCCTTCGTGCAGAGCATCAGGTGTTCACGGCGGCGACCTCGGCAGGCGAAGGCCCGCGGCGGCGGGCGGTGCGAGCCGCCACGTGGGAGGTGGCCCCGCGTGTGCGCCCTCCACCATGGGCACATGGCGTGAAGGAGCCGCCTGCCAGCCGGCCCAGGGCGGCCGTTCTTCTTTCGCCGGAGTGACCTTTGGTGCGGGCACAATGGGGTCCGCCGACGTCTTGCGCGCCTGAGTTTGGCCCCCCCGCGGCCCCCCCAAAGCCCGCGCACCAAAGGTCACTCTTACCCAGGGTCACTCTTGCGTGTGGCCGATTCTTGTCAGGCGCGAAGCCGTAGGACAAGGGCGCCTGGACGGGGAGGGCCCCCGTCCGCCCGACGTGCACCGCCAGCCTGAAGAGCCTGTAGGCAGCCTCGCCGTACTTCGCCAGGTGGGCCAGCTGCTCCTGGTCGCAGGGGTCCGCCGTGCGCGGTCCAGTCGCCCATGTGGCCTCGCCTCGCGACCCAAGCCCAGCAGGCCGCTTCCAGTACTCGCTCGGCATGCTGATCCACGTGGGGTTGATCAGGATCTTGAAAAGCTCTGCGGGGGCCGACCATCTCGGCGCACACCGTCCGAGTTTCGACCTGCGGATGGCCTTGCACGTGGCCTTGAAGTCTTCCTGCGCCTGCTTCCTCATGTCGGTCGGGGCGTTATAGGCGTCGGGCTGCGCGTACTCGTCGATGTTCGCCAACTGCGCCAGCCGCTCTGCTGAGACGTCAGCACTCCAAGGAACCGAGATCGGCTCGCCGCTCAGGCCGCCCTCCAACGGCTGGAGCTGCAGGAAGTCGTTCCACTCCTGGGCCGAGGGCGAGTAGGACGGGTTGGCACGGTAGTTACGGTTCTTGATGCCAATCCCCGTCCTCGCGAGCGCCCGCGAGAGGCGCGGGGCAGCCGCCATGTCGCGGCGCCGCCACGCGTTGGAGAGCTCGTTCTCTGGCTGCTGCTGCTCCTCCAAGGCCTGCCTCCTGTGGGTCTTGAGGGACTTCGTGTAGGCCTTGATCGCCATGCTGTACTTCGAGCAGTGTCGTCATCCGCGGCGGCGTCCTGTGCCGTGATGCTCTGGAGGAGCTCCCGCCGCAGTTTCAGCAGTTGCCATTTCCTGGTGGACATCAGCTCGCGCTTGGGGTCCTTGACCTGCTCCTGGGAGAAGTGCTTGAGGCCGACGTCGCTCCTTTTTTAAACCCGGCCTCTCCCCCACTCCTCCTCCGAGGTATTTATTGGTCCCTGGCCCTCTCACTTTCCTCGAGGTCGGGTTCCCGGGGCCGTCGTCTGAGTGCCCGCACGGCCCTCGTGGGCTGCTGTGGCGCGCTCCGCGCTCCGGGCGCATGCGAGACGCTGCTCCCCCTGGGAGCCCTCGTACGTGTTCCCGCACGGGTAAAACGTGTTGATCGCGATCAGGCCCACCATGTCCATCCATTCGTGCAGCTTCTTGCTGGTGTCGGGCTCCAGGGGGGCGCCGTAGGGGCCGACCGCCGCGGACGCGTAGGAGCTGGCCAGGCCGCCATTGAGGTCCATGCACTGGATCGGCGTGTACCGCTGCGGGATGGCCGCGTACTCGGTCTGGGCCCACTGCAGCAGCTGGCAGCACGCGTCGCGATGAACCGCCGCCGTGCCAGCCTTGCTCGGGCGCGGCGGGAAGTAGAGGACCATCACCGCCAACATGAGAGGGCCCGAGCTGGGGTAGATCATGCCACCTCGTCCTCTCAGCTGGGCAGGGGGCGTGCTGATACGGCGGATGTCGTTCCTGCCGAGCCACCTCTTGTTGATCATGATCGCACACCCGCACACCTTCGTGGTGAGGCGCCCCCTTGCCCAGCCGAACTGTACCGTGTGGTGGTAGGCCGCGTTCGCCGCGTTGTGGAGCTCGTTCTGACACGCGCGGACGCCAGTGCCAGGGAGCGCCACGACCCCCACGGAGCGCAGGACGGTGCTCACCTTGTCCAGGCGGTACGCGCTCACGAGGTTGTGCGGGTTCTAGCACCCCACGAAGCACCAGCGCTCACCAATGGCGGGGTCCGCCAGGGCGCGCCCCATCGCTGCCAGCGCCAGGGCAGCGAGCAGCCTCACCGCCATGTCCAGCGCGAGCGCCAGCGTGCGCACCTGCCTTCCTGCGGTGCTCCGCCAGGGGAGGCGGCACACCGCAGTCAGAGCGCCAGCCAGGCCACGATTGCCCCCATGGTGCCTCTGCGCGGGTCAGAGGGCCGCCTGTGGGCAGGTGGGACCTGGGCCGTGGTGGCGGCTGGAGGAAGAGGAGGAGGAGGAGGAGGAGGAAGAGGAGGAGGAGGAGGAAGAGGAGGAGGGGGAGGAGGAGATGGAGGAGGAGAGGCAGGGAGGTGGAAAGGGGGAGGGGAACATTCTGGCCCTAGCAGTACACATGTGTCTCTCCTCCCTCTTGTCGTCCTCCTCTTCCTCCTCCTCCTCCTTCTCCTCCTCCTTCTCCTCCTCCTCTTCCTTCACCTCTTCCTCCCCTTTTTTATAAATTCTGCGCCTCGCTGCGGCTTTCGTATTTCGGTGCCTTCGGAAAGAAAAAGGGGGAGGGGAGGGAGGGGTCATTTCTCCCCTCGCGCTGCTTGTTCCAGGCCTGTGGGATCTTGTGCCCACGCATCGAAAAAATTGAGCAGCCGGAGGTTTGGGAAGCTCAGGCTTTGAGTGTAGGTGCAGCTCGCCTTCTGTCACGTCTCAGCCGCGTTGCGTCAGTTTGGCTGCCTGTCAGACAGCTGTTCCCGTCGAGAAAAGAAGTACACCCCTGGAGCCTGGAGCTGTCCTGCAATAGTGAGACGAGCCAACCCCACCAAGGCCCGTTTGTCGAACAGTGTGCGCTGCGGGCAGCGGCTTCACTCGCTGATTCAATGATCAATCGCTTGTTCGGGTCAGCGGGCATGGTTGCTTTCATTGCCCGCAGCGGCGCGGGCGGGGCGACCCGCCAAGGTTGTCGCCATGCAGAAGATCCTGGCCAAGGTTCAGCGAAAGGTCGGGGGCTGGATTGGGTCGAGCACTGTGCACCTTGGAGATCACAACGTGCCCAATGCCCTCATGTTCATCGACAAGTACATCCAGGTCCCACGGCTGCTAGGCCCCGCTGGAGAATTCAGTGGGCCCTGGGAAACGTCAGTTTTTTTTCCCCCCAGCTTCTTTTTGTAACGTAATTCTATTGTTAGGGTTTCCCTGAATGTTCATGTGCTTTTTTCCTGTCGCCGTGTCGTTTCCGGTTCCCCTTCTGGCTCCGATGTTGGGCCAGCTTTTCCAGTTTGGGCGACTTGTCTTCCCCCAACAGCGCTTGCATCTCGGGCCTCTTGCGCGAGTCTTTCGCAGGCGGTCGTGTGGGTTGCGTCGAGGGCTCGCCATGTCCTGGGGCCTGTCCTGTTGCCGCCCGAGTCGCGGCCCGCTGCCGCTCTCGCGTGGGCTCCTCGAGGGTTCGCGCCACGCTCCCGCACCTTGCCGCCCGTGGCCGCCCCGGGTCAGGGCGACGGCTGCGGGGCGTCCCGAGGATTCGCCACGTTGCCACCCACTGCCGCCTGGTTGTCGCCTCGTGCGCTCACGCACCCGGTGGGCAGACGTCTTTGTTGGTCGCGGGCGGCCGCGGCCACGCAGTCGCCGAAGGGGAGGTCCGGGGCACGGTCCTGCCGAACTGGCTGCGCGCGAGCCTAGGGCGAAGTGGCCGGGCCAAGCAGTGGGCAGACGCGAAGCGTCAAGAATACGACAAGCTGGGTCTCATGTAGTGGGAACCAGCTTTCTGTCAGAATTTCTGCGGGCACCTTCCAGTACATGTGTCCACCACGTGACACAGCTTC